CTGTGAGCTGTGACGCCACTGCACTCTACCGAGGGTCACATAGTGAAACTGTCTCAAAAAAAAGAAGTGCCATCTTCCACGTGGTCCTGGGCTGAAAGCCAGAGTCCTGGTGGTTCCACTTCTAGTACAGAGGAGACTGAGGGGAACACAGGACTGACTGAGGTCAGGAGCTCTGGGTGCAACTCTGGCCTTTAGGTGACCTCATATAAGTTTCTGCCTCTCTGGTCCTCTTTGTTCTCAGTGTTGGGCTAGAAGATTCCTTGGCCTCTTTGATTTTATTTTTTTACTTGAAACTCTTACCAGCCAAGTTGGGTTCTCTAATGAGAGGAACTAGGTGGGATGGGCCTCCACAGACCCACCTGTGAGCTGGGCAGGGTGCCCATGAGGGCTGACCCTGGGGGTGGTACCAGTGGAAACTAGAGGGTCTCTCCCTTAGAATCAGGCTATTTTGTTGGAAGAGGTCTAGAGGTCACTGATTTGGGCTCTCACCCAACATAGGATCCCTGAGAAGCACAGTCGACAGTTACCGGTTCATCCCCTGTGGGTGTCCTGCCAGGGATGGGGAGCCCACTCCCTTCCAAGGGATTACTTCCATTTTTTCTTTCTCTGTTCTTTTTAAGGGAAAGGATCACACCTTTTACTAAGGGGAAGTGCTCTCCAACTGTGGATTACAATTCCGATCCTACTCCTTAAAGCCTCTGGGGAAGAACAGCCTACAGTGACTGGAGGGACCAGAGGCCTGAAGTCAGATCTGGGGCTGGGTGGTTGGGAGTGGGAAGGGTGACATCTTAAGAGGAAGGACACGTGAGAATGCCTGGGAGGAGGAGAGTTGTGCTGGGGTCACCTCTGCTGGAGCTGCACACCTGGAGCTCACAATGTCTGCTGGGACACCTGGGGAAGATGTCATTTATTACAAGAGATCAAATATCCCGAGACCTGGGATCAGCCAGAACATGGGGTCCGAACAGCAGACGGACTAAAGGTGTGGAAGGTGGTTGATACTCTTGAAACCCTTTCTATTAAAAAGCCACAGCTCATTAAAGTCCAGAAGGGGGTGGACTGTAGCGTATTTGATAATTCTAGTACTCTCCAGCAATGTCCTATCCCCTCTCCATCCCAGGACACTTCCGGAAGCTCAGCAGAACCTCCTGCTTTGAGGGGACTGTGACCCCCCAGGCAGTGTCCAGCCATTGGGAACATTGGTGCCACCCCCGGGGTCAGCCCTCACAGGCACCCTGTCTAGCCCACAGGTGGGTCTGTGGAGGGAGGCTCATTCCAGCATCCTGGGCTCCTTCCCTCACTGCTCATGTCAGTGAGGGCCTGGGTGGGCCATCCCTAGAGGAGAGGAGACCTGGACACCATAGCCTCAGCCACAAAACTCACATAGTGATACAAAAAGAGAAAACAAAGAAAAAGCACTTTCTTTAGGGTGTATCTTATAGAAAGCGGTTACTTCTTTACTCCTGTCAAAACAACTGGGATGAAGTAACACCATCTTCATCCATAAGTAACATGGTCATCGATGTAAAAAGTCCTACTGAATCTTCAAAAAAGCTATGAGCTTGAAGAAGTCCGTTTGGCAAGGTTTCAGGAAACATGATGCAAAAACCAAAGCCAGGACATAACTGGGAAGCATATTTTTGAAACGTATTTATCTTGTGGAGGGTGTGATTTTTCCTCTATGAGCTAATTTTGGAAAACCAATTGTTCCCATGCGGGCTGAGGGTCTGGTTGGGCAGGAGGGGTTCTCATGGGGGGACCTGCTCTGGGGCAAGCGGAACACTCCTGGCTGACAAGTGGCTTCCCTTCTGAGCCGAGTCCAGGGTGGTGAGATAGGCCGGGCTGGGCCCCAGGGCTGCAGTCCACTCTTGACAGGTCTGGAGCTACTGCCTCTGTGGGCTCAGGCTCAGGTTCTGAGCATTTGGCTGTTGTGAGATGAGAGGAAGAGTCTGTACGCTTGGTTTACTATTAATAACTTCAATGTGGCTTTTAGGCAAATCATTTGACCATTCTTAAGCCTCATCTTCCTTATCTGTAAAATGGGGATAGAAGCTGAGCTTTTTTGCTGCATGACTATGAGGGTTAAATAAGATATTGTATATTGTGTACTACTGAAATGTAATGGGATAGTTAGCACTTGGACAGAAAAAGTTATGTTTTAAGAATTAAAGTTCTCCTTTAACGATAGACACAAAATCTGATTTGTGAAATAGAACTGGAATTTCCTAAAGGGGTCCTTTCACATAACTTTAGCATGAGACCCACATGTCACACGTTGTAGGAAAATGTCCATTATGTGTATTCATGTATTTGCGTAATACTATTGCACCATATGCAACTCTTATATCTGCTTATTTAAGCCTCACAGTCCTGTAATACTTAGGGTGAGCTAAATTCCTCTAAGAAATGGTTCCAAACATGTAGTATCTTAACAATAGCTTGTTTTGCTACTGTAACAGCCTAGGACAGGGGTGAGGTTGGTGGGGCATTTCTCCTCCATACTGTGACTCAGGGATCCAGGTTCCCTCCAACTGAAGACTCTCCTATTGTCTATGGCCTAGTTGTCATTTGCATCCAGTGAATGGAAAGGGAAAAGATCCAGGAGACCCCACAGGTTTTTGACTTCTGTCCACATTCCACTGGAGAAAACTCAACACAGGGACACACTTGACTACCAGGAAGGCTGGGCAGTGTAGTCCAGCTGTGCATACGAAGAAGGGAAGAAAGCATGCTGAGGGACGGCTCTCGTGGTTCCTACCAGTTTATAGATAAGAACAGTCTCGATGGGATTAATTAACTAACTTGCTAAGATGAATTTGTTACAAGTGACCAAGCCCAGAGCTCCTGATGGCCATGTCTGGTGCCTTAAAGAGCATGACCCCCACGCTGACCCGAGCCCCCATCATCTCTCACCCAGACTCTGGCAGTGGCCCTCTCACTATTCCTTCTCCACCTTAGAAGGATCCTCTAACACCTCCTCTGGAGCACACCATAAAGGATCACACTGTGGAGGGGACAGAAACAAACCTGTCGCCCCCACCCCCATCATCTTTCAACCCTGTCCATGAGCATATGGGTTCAGAGGGTAACTCAGCTGGGGAGTGGCACACCCCATCCCTGGGCTCAGGTCTGACCCCACATTCTGGTCTCTGGAGCAAGAAATGACACAGGTTAGCTTCCAAGCCATACTTTTTTATTTTTACAGAAGCAGCAGTTCCACAGCCACTGGGACATGCGCTCTAGGGGCAGAGTAGACACAGTGCCTGTGGCTGCAAGAGCCTGATGGGGAGATTCATGCCTTTCTCCTTGGTCTCCATGACCAAATAAGAAAATGAAAATCACACGCTACACCCATCCCCACTCCTCCCTCACCTTTTAATGTATCTGATTATCCATCCTCGAGGCCAAAGAAACTGGCTACAATTCTGATTTCACAGAAAACCTTCATGTAGCCCAGAAACTCGGCTCTGGAGGGGAAAGGCCGACTCTGGTACTTTCCACATGCACTGCCCTCTGGCACCAAGTTTAACTCCACCCCAGATCACCATGTGGATGGACAGCAAGGGGACCAACTACAAGAAAAATTCCTAACTCAGCTCATCATGCCAGAAAGACAGCTTCGTGGCCAGGCAAAACATCACTGGACCATCAGTAACCTGAGGCTGGTGTGACCCCCCAAATACTTTCCCTTCCAAGCCCCAGGTGGTGGGTGAAGGAAATCTGGGAAAGTCTGGATTTTGGTTTTTGGATTAAGGGCAACAGAAGATGCTGACATCTCTGGCCACAGTCCCAGTGGCTTAGGAACAAAGGTATCACTGTCAAAATGATGGCACTGCAGTGTCTGACTAACCTAGCTCATGTTATAACCATTCATCTACAGAAAGTAGAATCATCAGTTTCACACTGAGCAGGGAGCACATGGGCCTGCTGTGAAGGCTCATGCTGGAATTCACGTGCTTTGCAAACTAGAGAATGAAGTCCGCTTTATTCCTTCTGTCCCCCTCCAGTGGCCCTGTGGGTAAGGGTGGATCCTTCGTCTCCTGAGTGCCACAGATGTGCCCAGCCCTCACAGGACCAGGCCAAGGCACTGCAGTGTGCCAAGCCCTGGGAGAAGTCTGGTACCTACAGTGATAAGATGGATGCTTGCCCGCAAGCCAGAGGTGAGCCTTCCTGAAAGGGAGAGCAGAGCTGGCCTCCGGACTAACAAAGCACCCTGAATGATGGACCACCCGGACTTATCTACCTGGATCCTGTTTTTCCTCTGACTTTCAATGCAGTGTGGCTTTTCATGGGTTTTGCCACCACAGTGCCTAGGACAGGGGCCCCAGGGAGGTCTTGTGTTCACTGATGGGAAAGATGAGGAGAGCGCAGCTCAGAGGGACAAATGACTTGCCCACTGGGCACAGCTCACTGCCAACGAAGCAGGGACTGAACCCAGGTCTCCTGACTCATGTTGCAGCTGCACCTGGCTCAGCCTCGTCATTCCAGCTTCCCTTCACATGACACAATTCCTCCTCAGACTCCAGGTTTCCAGCTGAGGCCAGGCAGTTCTTCAGATGAAGTTGCATAAACAATCAAGCTTTGAGAACAAGGGGGGAAGGACCTAGGGAGGTTCCCTTCCCTCTGGAACAGAAACAGCTTTCTCTGAGCTTAGGATTTGTAAGGCACTGAAACTAACTTCAGTTGGGGGGCAAGGGTGGTAGTGGCAGGAAGAAAACAAGAGGGATAAATGGTTGGAAAAAGTCAAGCTGATACGCTCTCCTTTCAGCCCTGCAGTGAGAAGTGCACTGACAGTGGACTCAGTTTCCCACCTGATGTGGGCCACTCCCAGCAACCCCACAGAGCAGCATGGACCCACTCCCACCACAACCATGTGGGTTCTGGGGATAAGAAGCTTGGAGGGTTGGCAAGCCAAGAATGAGCCTAGGTCCCTTGGATCCAATTAAGAGAGTGGAGACCACGCTCTTCCCAGGAATCTCAGGCTTAAGTGGGGGCAGGATTCAACCCTGAAATGCTTCCTCCAGGAACTCAACTGTGGCTGGGGTGGGCCTGCAACCCCGGGGATAGAGGACTGGCAGGATGTCACCAAGGACAGCAGAGAGAACTTTGGAATCGGGCCTGGCTTTGGTGCAGACTATCTTGGGCCTGCGTGCCCAGGCTGCTGCTCAGGGTGGAGGGGAGCCCTCCACTGTGGGGAGCTCGTGCAGCAGGCTGAGGCAATGGTGGGGCAACCTCATGGCATCCCCTTCATCACTTCACCAAGCCTGGGCACAGGTGACCTAAGGTTGGAGCCTTTTCAGACCCAACTGGTGACGGCAAAGCACTTGTGTCAGATGTGATGCTGAGCGGGAAGACTGATGGGTACCACTGACCAGCAATGTCGGTGTGACAGGCGCTTGACCTGGATGGTGACAACCCACAGGTAGGTGCTACTGTCCCCTTTCACAGATGAAGAGGCCTGCGCTGAGAGGGGGTCAAGTGACCTCCCCCAGCACCCCACAGCTAACAAGTGCTAAACTGGGAACCAGACTCAGGTGTGTCTGACCCCAAGTCACATGGGTTTCCACCCCACTGGGCTGCCCTGGAGCCAGGAGGAAGGCAAGGGCTGTGTGGGTGGGATTTCTGGAGGGGTGTCTTTTGGGAAGCGTGGATCTGGGAAAGTGGCCAAACAGGAATGAAGGGACAATGCCTGTCCACCCATGCGTGTCTGTCTTTCCAGGTGGCTCCAGCTCAGTGCCTGGCGGCCTTGCAGATCTTGTCGTACACCTCAGGGAAGGCATCCTGGCAACCGAGCTTCTCCCGCAGCTCGTGGTACAAGGAGCCGTCAAACATCTCCCAGAACTCCTCCCGGTTCATGTAGCAGTCAGCGTACAGCATCTGGAAGCTGCAGAGGCAGAGGGGGTAAGGATGTAGGAGGTCCAGGGAGGACAGTGGGTGTGGGAGAAACCAGCAACCCGCAGGCACCATGCCCCCCCCGCCCCCACAGCATGTTTCCAGGCTCTGGAGGTGTTCTTGAGGAACTGTCCTTGCCTGATCCCCCTAACGAGCTGCTGAGGAGGGGGATGCAGGGGAGTTGGGGTGGGGGTAAGTGGCTTGGCAGCAGAGGCAGTCAGGACTAGAGCTGAGACTGCTTGGCTTCTGACCCTGTGCTCTGCCCAAGACAGCTGCCTCCCCTGATGGGAGGGCGGGAATGTTAGCATTTTTTTTTTTTGAGACAGAGTCTCAAGCTATCACCCTGGGGTAGTGTGCTGTGGCGTCACAGCTCACAGCAACCTCCAACTCTTCGGCTTAAGCGATTCTCTTGCCTCAGCCTCCCATGTAGCTGGGATTACAGGCACCTGCCACAATGCCCAGCTATTTTTTGGTTGTACTTGTCATTGTTGTTTGGTGGGCCCAGGCTAGATTTGAACCCGTCAGCTCCAGTGTATGTGGCTGACGCCTTAGCTGCTTGAGCTACAGACACCGAGCCAGGAATGTTTGCTTTTAATCTCGTATTGGCATTCAGTAAACTGCACATATTTAAAGTGTACAGTTGGATAAGCCTGACACACGTAAGCAACCGAGGAACCAGCACCGTGGTGCGGATGGCAGCCCTATCCACCATCCTGAAACTTTTCTCAAGACTCTGTCTCTCTCTGCTATCCCCAGGCAACCCCTGGTGTGCCTTCCATCACTATGGATTCACATGTGTGTTCTGGCATTTTCTAGAGTGGAATCTCATGGTGCCCTTCCTTTCTCCTGGCTTCTTTTAGTGAGCACAGTGAGATTCCTCAGTGTTAGGTTCTGCAGCAGTTGGGTCCTGGCTGCGTTCTGAGCGATACTCTGTCCCTGGCCTCTCCGTGGTTTTCAGAGTCAGGAGTCCCTCCTCCCTTAGCTTTGGCCTTTCAGTCTAGAGCAGGATCCCCACATATCTAAACCCATAGCTGTCATCTGCCCTGTGAAGCTGGGGGCTGCAGGAAGGGGAGGGAGGTGGTCCCATAGGTCTACCCTCAACCACTTCCCAAGTGAGAGGCTGCCACAGCCAGCGGGTTCCTGAGCAAGCCTAGGGCTTCCTGCTTCTCAGCCCAAAGCTGGCCTCATTCCCCTGGAGCAGTCCTTGGAGCCCTCAGCCAGAGAGACCCTGCCACCCCAGGCCACTCACCCATGCACACTTCGGACAAACTTCTCCAACTGCCTCATGCAAGACCTGGCTTCAAAGTGCTTCACGCGTGGCTCCCCATATGCGCCAATGTCAACATAGAGCTCTGTCTCGTCTCCCTTGGGGTGCACCAGGCCCGGCTGGCTGGGCAGGATGAACGGACACAGCCAGATCGGGTAGACCTGGGTAGAGCAGGGATGGGAATACCAGTGATTTTTCTCCCAAAGACGACAGGCTCACAGCCGGGCACTCACACCCACCCACAGGGAGGCTTGCTGCATTCTCCAGGGGCCCCTCTGGCTGCTCACAGCTCTACTCCCCACCCTCCCAGGCTGGGTGAGGACACCCGACTCCACCACACTGGAGGACACCATGAGTGCAGGTCATGGGCGAGTTCATTACCAGGCTCTATGACTCACCTCCCATCAGGGCCACTGCTCAGCAGGCCAAGGCCTCAGTAGGCGTATGGACAGGCCCTCATTTTATAGCCAGGAAAACCCAAGACCCAGAGGGCAGATGTGCCCAAGGTCGGGCAAGTGGTTTGGGGAGAGGTCCGCGGGACCATGCCTGGGGTGCCCTCCCTGCCCCGCCCCTGCTCACGTGGATGTCATTGTGGAAGGTGTTCAGGGCCCGTGGCAGGCACTTCATGGGCACCAGCATGTCCTGCACCACATGGTGCTGCTCGTACAGCTTGCGCAGGGTCTCGCCCTGGGTCAGCTTCAGGAGGGAGATCTTGGGCGGTACCATCCACCCAAAGAGGTAGCGGAAGATGGGGTTGTTGCCAAAGGGGATGATATCCTGGGAGACAAAGGGTGGGGACAGAGAGAAGGAGCCAATGAGGGCTGGATGTCTCTGTGTGCAAGGGGGCAGGTGCTCGTTCTGGGCTTGACCTGAGTAGATGGGGTATAATTCCCCTCTGGAGGGGGCACGATGGTACCTAGGCCTTTACTAGTTGGATTTACGTTCGGTTCTCTGTTCTGGCCTGTACCATCTGTGATGACCTAGGGCTAGCTACTTAACTTCTCTGAGCTTAGTTCCCTTATCTATAAAACGGGACTTGTGCCCAAGGATGATCTACCAGATGGAAGGCATCTAGCCCAGTGCCTGGAGCAAAATGTTAAGGTGGCTCTCATTCCCATTCTGGCTGTGGAGGTCAGAGTGGCTGGCACAGAGCAGCCATTCCATAAAAGTCTGAGAAATGAGTGCTCTGAATGAGAAGAGTAATACCGAGGGGACGGAGGGGTTTCCCAGAGGTCACATAGCCAGGGATGGCTCTCAGAGGGCGGTGAAGTCTGACTCGGGCCCGACAGGGAGCCTGTCGGTTTACAGCATCCCTTCTCACAGCTTTAACCACCCCACTCCCAACTCAGTCTCCCTAGAAACCTTGAGCAGAGGCCAGTAGGCCAGAGGCCTCTCCCCTGACTGCCAGGTAGGAGGTGCTGCCTCCCTTGGGGCTGCTGTTCTGCTCAGCTCCCTCCAGCTCTGCCATGGCTCTGGGGCAGGGGGATCACGCCTACCTCCCAACAGAGAAGACTTTGCCCCTAGCTCACAGCCCTCCTGCTCCAAGTCCTGCCACCTTCCTGAGGGTCACCAGCGCCCATTCTCATAGCTCCGCTCATTACTCTTTCATTCACCAGATAGTTACAGGGAGCCTAAGAGGTCCCATGCTGGTGTCCATGAAGTGCCTTCCATGGGCCCTGAACATGGGTCAGGTCCCAGGCTCTAACTGGGTGCTGGGGAACCAGGACAATTGAGATGTAGTCTCCATCCTGAAGATGCTCACTCCCCCATGGGTGGGAGGGACAGCCCACTGGCCAGCACAGGGACAGCTGGTATAAAGAGAGGCAGAGGCAGCTCACGAAAGCATCCAAAGCAGCTGCATGTGGACATGTTGAAGGCTGAGTGACCCTTGGAATCGCCAGGCCACTCCCATGAGGGTAGGGACCTGTAGGCTTTCTTTTGCTAGATCCCAGCAGCTACGCCACTGCCTGGCGCACAATCAGAGCTCAGTAGATAGCACAGGTTTACTATTTCCCTGGGTGTCCCTGGAAAAACCACACACATCCACAGCAGAGATCCCAGTGTACAAAGGTTAAGCCTCCCCTCCCTCCCTGGCCCTACTTTCTTCCCCTCCCAGCCACCCTCTCCCCACCTCCCATCTAGAGTACCTGTGGACTCCTGCTGCCTGGGTCCACAGACCTGGCCTGCCCTTGGGCTCTACCTTCTGACATGTTGCCGAAGGCTGTGCAGGGTACTACAGAGACCTTATAGTCCACAGGACCCGGGCCGTTTCCTACCTGGCGTTTCTAAAAAATGTTTTGCTGACCCCTGCACTATTGTATGGATGTATCATTACTGAATCGGTTCTATGCTGATGGGCATTTAGACTATTTCCAGATCATTCACAATATCCTTTGTGTCTTTGCCAATTTATACGGGTCAGTAAGACAAATTCCTAGATGTGGAAAATACTGGTTCAAATGGTGGGTGCAATTTTAATGGATACTGTTTCAAGGGCTTGTACCATTTCACATTCTCTCAGACAAGCCCTGGAGCAGTGTGGTGTGTTACCAAACTTCCAGATCTCTGATAAGGGAGTCCCCAGGTTACAAACACCTGCCTATGTACAACCCACACTTAGGAACAGAGGCTATTAAAGGTAATAGGTAAATGTACCTGTTCCAACTTACATACTAATTCAACTTAAGAACAAATCTCCTGAACCTATCTTATTTGTAATCCGGGACTGCCTGTAGTTTCGTGTTGTCTGTCTTTGACTCTGAGTGAGGCTGCATCACCTTTCTTAGGTTTAAAAGCCGCTTGTTATTTTCCCCCTAAAAATAGTTAACAGTTACCCAAACGTATTGACTCCCAATTACTTTACTGCTCCCAACCTCAGAAAATTCTAATTTTATCAAACACGTGCTCTGTCCTTCTGCTTTCCCTCTGTCCAGCCATCACTCATCCTCCATCCCTTGGTGACCCTGAAACTTGAGTCTCTGGCTTCACTCCAGAGGCCCTC